TGGATATGAAATAAAATGATCTACTTATACAATGCAATATAGATAAGTGTCTACTTAATCGACAATTCTAATGTAAAAATATGATTTGGAAGAGGCCTCGTTTCCCTTGACTGTCAATTCTGCACTGTGACCGACTAGAACTAGTTGTCGTGTCGTGCAGTGGTAACGTTACCACGATATTCACGACCCCATAGCGAATCCCGTTGGGGCTGCTAATGAGACATAGACGAGAGAGAAACTGCAGTCGACTCTGGATGAAATGTCCTTTAGGAAGGTAATACTAAATGCAATTCAATTGAATCCCATGTGGGGAAACTCAAATATCACTCCTTAACTCCACCTAAACGACTTAGGTTGAGTTAGTTATTATTCAAGCATCAATAATAGTCTCGAAATCTACTTATACACTTAAACATTTGACTGCATATTTACTCATGTATTTTACAAATAATTTCAATCACAATTATTATGATTTCGTCGCATTGTGTCATGTGATTCTTCTACCCTTGAAACGTATGAATCAGACATAATCGCTAAGGCGGACTTAAACGATCCAAATCACTATTGTCAGTGATATACATAACTTGAGGCAGCTCATAAGCTAAGTAAAAAGCAAATAACTATTCATTGATGATTTCCTGGGGGCGGAGCACTATGGGGCTAAATTTACATCCCTCCGAAATCAAAGGTTTCGCATAGTTCGACCCCACCATTAAGATGAAAGCAAACTTTAGCATAAGTAGGAGGAAAACAGGTCTGATTCAATAAGGTAAATAAATGAAAAAGCCCTAGGATTAGGAAACTCATCATATTCTTTATTGCTAATAACGCTTCTATGAGGCTTTAGAAGATCAAGATGTTGGAGGTAAAATAGCTGGAGATGTTCATGGAGCTTAGGAATTTTTCACACAACTTTACTTTGAAAGCTTTTCTCTAACAAAGTCATGCGTAATTGCAAGAAACGGTTGAATAAAGTTATTTTCTTGACCACTTTAACGTTTGGTAATGTAATGTCATTGACCAATTACAATTCTGACCCGCATACAAACCCGGCCACTATGAAAGACTGAGCTCATAAAGCCCCGTTCTATGGTTAGTACTATTATTATTGGAAGTCGCCGAATCGAGAATGAATAGCCAATTTTGTACCCCTATTTGAGTGTTAAGGGACGAGTTCTGTTGACAAATATCTTACTATTGAAGCCATTGAAGCTATTGAAGCTATTAAATCTATTGAAGCACTTACATTCAGCCTAGATGAGCACCTAGAAATTATTGGGGAGGCAAATCTGAGCAAAAACTCAATCTTAAGGCTTCTTAATCTATGCATGAACAGCACATACTTTACCTTTAATGATAAAGTTTATGTACAGGTGCAAGGCCTAGCAATAGGATCATGCTCGGCTCCCATTTTAGCTAATAATTACATGTCAAGAATGGAGAAACACTTCATGGAAGAGGTTAGGTTGACACCCAAACTGTTAATTAGATATATGGATGACTACCTTGCCATATGACAGCATGGAAAGGATAGTTTAGGTAATCTCTTGTTATTTATTAACAAGATTGACCTCAATGTTAGGTTGACAATGGAGATGGAGAAGTACAATAAGATACACTTTTTAGATGTTTTAGTGATCATAGCAGGTGAGGTGAGGTGTCAATAGAAATCCATCTCATGTTGACCTTATACTTAACTTCTTCTGCAATCTTTGTTATAAAACAA